AAACCAGACGTGTGTGTGTGTGTGTGTGTGTGTGTGTGTGTGTGTTTTAATCTAGTTTATTTATTGTTTGTTTGTTTTACTTTATTTTTGTAACTATAAATGTGTCAAATTCCTAAATGTAATCTTTATATTGGCTTCACATTTTTTTATTAAACTAAAAATGTAGAGTAAAACTAATAATGTTTATAATAATAATAATAATGATTATTATTATTATTAATTTCCCTTTTACATTTCTTCAAACATATGTCAAGTTCCTAAATGTAATCTTTATATTTATGTTGGCTTAAAAAAATATTAAATGGTACTTTTTAAAGAACTACTAATTTTTTTAAATAATAACAGTGATAATAATTATTATTAGTAATAGAAGTAGATAAAATATTTAGGGGGGAAAAAATATATATTTTTTAATTCATTTGACAAATAAATAGATTTTTGTTTCAATGTTATAAAAAGGTCAATTTTCCTGATATAAGAGACTTTTGACAGCTCTAGGCACATTTGACACATTTTGTCTTCACGCACATGATGTGAGCTGTTGGTAGTGTTTTAATCAGTTATTCACACTAGCTCTTCCTGGACATGACCGCGTAACAAAGGTTGAAGAGGAAGCGGAGCGAATGAGTTTTCCCAGTTCCTCCGTCAGTGTCCAGGAGCCCGCGCGGATTCGGTCAGGCTCTGGAGGAAAATGTCCATATACAGAGGAAGAGGAAGAGCGCGGCCAATGGGGGTCACAATGAGTGGATTTCCTCCGGTCACGTGTGTGCAGCAGGTTGCTGGGCCGTGGAGAGGAGGAACGTGTGTGCAGCAGGTTGCTGGGCCGTGGAGAGGAGGAGAGCGTCAGGGAGAGGTTTAGGGAGCGGCTTTTGTTTGGACATACTGTCCAAGGTCCCTCTTTATGCTGCTGGTGGGAGGAAGGCAGTTTTGGGCCGGAGCGATGATGTGCTGCTGAGTTAGGATGAGTTTTGGATAGAAAGGAGAGCTATTTATCATCCGTGGTTCCTAAATACAGCTGCGTCGCTTTGACCAGATGAACAAAAAATGACGAGGCCTGGGTGGCCATGACCTGTGTTTGTATATTCATGTGTGTATTTGAGAGAGACTCCACCTGTGTGTGACAGAATACAGTGCGAGAGAAAGCCTGGCTTGTCCTCTTTATGATCTGATCTGGCCTTGTTTGAGACAACAACACATTTACTCAGAAGTGGCAGTTGTGTAATCACATCTCTCTGTTTGTTATGTGCATGAATACCAGTGTTGTTTTGAGACACTATTATAGTTTGTAATATTTTATTTTTAGATTTTCTGTTTTAGGTATCAGTTTTATTTATATAGGTATATCAGTTTTAGTTTTAGTTATTTTTTTAATAAAATAAAAAAAATAAATGAAAAATTGAGAAATGTTTACTTGGCAACTACCTAAAATAAAAATGTTAAAACATTTTTAAAACATGTTATTTTGTTAGTAATATTTATTTTTTTATTTAAAGTAACAAAACTAATCATTTTATATTAATGAAAATATAATAAAATATGTTTATTTATTTATTTATTTATCAGTTCACTGAACAATTCATTGTTCACTCAGACTTCTTAACTTCATCTTTATAATAAATTTAGTTTTTTTGTTTTGTTTTAATATGTCTTCAGATCTTTTTTATACATTTGTATTTCAGTTTTAGTTATTTTATTCATCAGGTAACACTAAATGAAAATGAGAAATTCAAAAATGTTTCTTGGCAACCACCTGAAATAAAACATTTTTTTTTTACTTTTTTTTTTAATGTTTTTTCAAGATTATAAATAAAATAAAAGATTATTGGAGTATGTTTTACACGAAAATACTATTTAGGTCTTTTTACTTGAAGATTTAGTGTTTACTTCAATGTGTTGCTTGCCCTTTCTTTGTAATTAATTGTGAAATTTACTAGTAATTTTTGAGTGAAAATTGTTTTGACACGATTTATTTATTTTTTTTAGTAATAACCCTGGTGAATACACAGCATTATGTCTAAGAAATGATTTTCCAGATGATTATGTCCCTATTTTCTCCCATCAAACTCAAACAGCCCCCTCAAAGCACTTAGTTTTTATCAGCGGGCCATTCGCATCTCGTCTGAAACACCTTGCGGGTGAGTGATAAGCCCTCTGCGGCTGCCCCGCTCTCATTTGTTTGCATTAGAAAGTGCCTGGTCAAAGATCCTCCATGTGGGTCCTTCAAAGTAAATCTGGAGGTGCTTTCAAGTCCAAGGTGAGAAGTGTGAAGAAGTGGCATGTCAACCTGCACTGTCTCGGACGGGAATCTCTCTGAAGCCGGGCAAAGCAATCCCAGAGGGCTTCGGAAGGGCCAACACGTCAGGGGCAAAAGGGGAGCTGCGTGACTTATGGCCATGTGCTGAGAGAAACGGGAGAAAAGAGAGATAGGTGGGTAAGACACACCCCTTCTGATGAGCCAAATTGAATAAAAGGCAGTGAATGTGATCCAGATCTTCCCCGTGCGCCCACAATGCTGTTTCAATTAGCATGATGACGGCTTCAAAGGAGAGAACTTGATGCTCTTCTGCTCCACATGATCTCCTCTCATCACCTCCTGCACGCCTCGCGCCTCTCTTATCACTGCAACAGCTCTCGCTCGCCGTCAAATATTCCACTTGTCTCTCTTTCCCTTCTTATTCAGATATCTGGGTGATTCTTTTGATTTAATTTATTATAGCTCATAATTAATTGTAGTTTTAAACCTTTATTTATTATTCTAGTACATCAGGTTAAACAAAAAATATATATATTGGCAACTACCTAAATTTAAACACTTAAACATTTTATTTTTAACATTTATTTCAAGTAATCAAAAATTATTTATTTATTTATTTGTTTGTTTGTTTATTTGTTTGTTTGTTCGTTTATTTATTTATTAATTCAGTTGTTTTTTTTGGCAGAATTTCTGTATTTTAGATTTGTAATCTCTCTATGACAAAGTTTTAAAACTAGGAAAATTCTGCTTTTTAAAAACTTTAAAATCAATTAGATGTGTGTGTTATTTTGTCTTTTTTATAACCCAGTCATTATCACCATGCTAAACACTTTGATATTTTTCATAAAATAAAATAAAATGAAATAATGACACAAAAAGTGATAGCAAAACCCATCTCTGCTGCCAGAGACTGTTTGAGGATTAGAAATGCAATGAATATTTATTTTAACCTAATTTAATTTTGATCAGATATTATTATTATTATTATTATTATCATCGTTATTGTTGTTGTTGTTATTAAAATATTTTCTAATAATTTTTATTTTATCATCCAGTCGCATTTATTTTTTTATTCTAAATTAACAGATTACTCACTATAAGCAAAAGTGTTTTTTCATATATATATTTTAGATAATAATAATAATAATAATAATAATGTTTTAAAAACAGGAACATTTATTTTTATTTTTATTCATGAACTTTCAATTATTTTTAAATTGGTTTCTTTGAATTAATTTCTTTTTAGTGCCAAGTTATTTGCAACTTTTTATTTGCAATTTTTCTTGCAATTGTGATTTCATGTCTCACAATTCTTCTTCTCAGAATGGCAAGTTTATATCTCACAATTCTATATTCTTATCTCACAATTCTGAGCTTATATCTTGCAATTTTGAGAAAATTGAAGGGAAAAAAAATCAGAATTGTCATATAAAATGTTGCCGTTACCTTTTTTATTTTTACCCTTTTTACCTTATTTATTGATTTATTTGATAGATAGATAGATAGATAGATAGAGATTTGAACATCATCGCAGGAAATTAGTAAAGTTTTTTCCCTCTTTCTCATCCCTTTATATCTTTTTTCCTATCCATAGTTGCCGCTCTCACGCTCTCTCTGTACGTCTCTCGCTCTCTTTCTCTCTCATGGTCTGGTCACGCTATACATTAAACAGAGCACTTTTCCCTCGCCAGCAGCTCTAAACGTTCATCACTCGCTCCGTCTGACTGCTTTACTGCTCGTGTCCTTCCTGCTGTCGTCACACTGCATCACACCTCACACTAAACTCTGGGATAATTGGCTTTCAAAGTGTTAAACCAAAAGAATCCGGCGGCCTTGAAGTGATGCTGCCAGACCTTTCATTAGCCATCAAATGAAATGATAAATCAGAACATCAAAGCTTTATCATCTCGCACAGTATATCTATCCATCCTGGCTAGTTTTGCTAGCACATCCTCACGTCTCCAAAAGACACCGCAGAACAGGCGAGTTTAATGAGCTTTTATTAGAATCGTCCCAAATGCTGCAGGTTCTTCTAATGTTTTGAGCGGGGGAAAGAGCGAGAGAGAAAGTCCTCCCACTCATCTCTCGCAGGAGATCTCCGCTCGCTTTGATTCACTGCCCGGCTCTTTCCTTAAAGAAACTGCCCCACAGATGTTGCTCCAGCGACTACAAAGAAGGAGGTCTTTATGAAGACCCAGTCTATTTTAGGCCGCAGCGTTTCCGAGAGGTACGGGGCCGATCTCTTTTCTGCTGAAGCCTTGTTTTTATTTCTTCCTGAGGTATTTTTAGATAAAAGCTGTGGAAATGATGACAAAAGAGAGCGTATAATGCTTCGTGACAG